CAACCGGCAAGCGAGGGAAGTGGAGCTCTTTCAATTACACCTTCATTGTGTGTGTGTGTGTGGCTTTTAATCTAAAAATCACTGGGTTGGTTTTTTGCCTTAATAAGAACGCATGGCTTGTATTATATATATATATATGTATATATATATATATATTAATTATTTAAGAAAAAAAAGAAACACGCATAGGCCCCGTAGCTTGCCGACACTGGCAATGTCCCCACTTCACCCTTCGCAGGGCACCGGAACCGCTCGCGCCTCGCGAAGCCGCGCCAGCTCGGCGCGCTGCTGCTCAAAGCTTTCTTGCGCCTACGGAGTCGTTTCCAAGGCCGCGCACGAGGCGGGGAGATTGCCAAACCCCCCCGCCCCCAACCCCGCCCAACCCCACCCCTTCTTTTCAGGATCCACTACTGCCCAAATTTCAGCTATTAAGCCCAGTGCAGACAACACCCCTGTTTTATATGGGTGTGGGTCAGAATTAAACCAGGGGACCGGAGCTTTTAGTTCATGTTTCCATTTACCAGGGTTCCCATTTTGGGTACCTATTTTTGACCCACAAACATATCAGGATCCACGGCTGCCCAAATTGCAGCCATTCAGCCCTCTCAGTGCAGACACCACCCCCACAGTCTTAGGGTGTTTGCATTACACCCTGGGATTACACTCTTGCTTCAAATAACACGGTTTTCTCCGGAAATGTGCCTAACTGGGGTCAATAGTAAGTGTATTCCCAGGGTGTGATACAAAAACCCTTAGACACGGGTTCGCCAGAACTGCTTCACCAGACGCCTCTCGAAGGCTTGCGAGCTGGGAGCTCTGCTGCTCGAAGCTGTCTTGCGCCTGCAGATTTCCAAGGATTTCGAGCGCTGGAGGCGCTTTGGGCTTTGGTCTACTGAAACGCGCCGGGTGCGTAGCCGGTGAGTAAGCCTGGTTGCAACCCACTTAGGAGACTTATGACCATGATAAGTAGGTTGAAAGCATGGTTGTTCCCCACTTGCTAAGTATCCTACCCATTTAAGTACCCTTCCGGGCAAACTTGCTTCTCAGTTCTGCTGCTCAAGGCCAACATCTGGACTGCGGCATGCCTATGTGCGCAGCTTCTCCCTCCACCTCTCGAGTCAAGCAAAGCTCGGTGCTAGACGACCAAAGGCACGGCTCGTGTTATCTGACAAGCCCATCGAATGGCCAGTGACAGCAGGATGGCATGGATTAGAGCCAAGCCAATCCATTCCAGCCAAACCGTCAGCATCAGTAGGCACTGGTTTTTGCACAGCCTAGCAACAGGGTCGGGCCGGCATCTCAGGCATTGTCGACTAATCGAAATCTTTTGGGATAAACCACGAAGCATGTGAACAATCATACGGCACTTCAAGTCTCCCTTGCAATGTGGCACCATGATGCATCATCAAATGGGTATGGGTCAAAATTAAAGCACCTGGGCACCGCAAGTTTTGGTTCATGTCTTTACCATGTGTTTACCAGGGAGCCACACCCAAATCAAAATGATGGAGTGCTGGCAGTACTCCAAAAATTGAAGACAATGCCTGCCCTTAGGCCCTTCTAGGGCTGATGCTCAGTCTCGGCAAACATCTAGAAAACCAGTTTGGATGTGGCTTTTGTGAATTCATTTTGTAGACTGTTAAAAGAGTACTGAAAGAGTACTAAACAAGGGACCAACAGGGGGAAGACCAGGTGAGGTCCACAAAAAGCGCATAGAAAACATGCAACCACAACGTCTCTCGCGATGCCCGCGCCTCTCGAAGGCTTGCCAACTCGGAGCGCTGCTGCTCCAAGCTTTCTTGCGCCTGCGGCTAAGCCATTGGATACGGAGGTTTGAAGCTTGGCCTATGGCCGACCCTTCCACGGCCAACATTCGTCTAATTCATTTGTGCGGTGCTGTGTGCTGCTGCGTGCGGCTGTGTGCCGCGGCAGCGTTGCAATGCAAACAAAGATGCACAGCTTGACAAAAATAAAGATAGACAACGGAAGTGAGAAAGAAGCATACGCACAGACACACATGTTCTCTCACTATCTCTCTCTCTCTCTCTGTCTCTCTCTCTCTCTCTCTCTCACTCTCTGACCCACATACACACACAAAGCAAAGTCAGCACAGGGAAGATGACGATGCCCAGTACTAACGGCTTGACTTGAATCTGCCAAAGACTCTTCACATGCACCCAGGGTACTCCTTTCGCTATGCAGTTGTCACACACACACACATACACACACCGACAATGAGCCAAACTCAGTCCACCGAATACATGTCCCATGCAACGCAGCAAGCAGGATACAACAGCAAGGTAATGCGTCCAACGTCGCGTGAAAAGAAGGCGTCCAGAGGCCCACAAACACACCCTCCAATGCGCTCCTAGCTGGTCATCTTGGCATCCCGGGTCCGTTCTGCCTGAAAGAACCCAACAAGGTTCCCCAAGAGGGTTCAAGTACCTAAGGATATACTTAGACCCCTTTTGACCCCCCAAAGTCATCCTCAGAAGGTGCCAAGGGACCCTCCGGGTTCAAGAGGTGTAGCCAACATCGGAAGCTCCGAGGACATCGGGCCGGCACCTCGCGCAGCTGCGCCAGCTCGGAGCGCTGCTGCTGGAAGGCTTCTTGCGCCTGATGTGCGCAACTCCGTCAGGGTTGGCGTCAACTTCTCCACATGGGTGGCTCCTTCCCAAAAAACACGGACACACCCTATGGAACCCATGGCCACTGGACATCCGTCTGCTCTGCCTCCGAGACCATTCCCTCCCCCACCTCACGCAGCTCCAGCCGCTCGGCTTGGAAGTGCCGCTGCTCCTCGATGCGGAATTCTGGCAGCGCAAGCCCCATGCTTTCTCCGAAGCCTCGGATTTCGCCTTCGGGGCCTCGGGGGTGGCTGGTGTGGGGAGCCTTCTGACTCCGAGGCCCGAAAACTGCGAGCTCCTCCCGCAGCTTCTCCACCTCCCGCTGCTGCTCCAGAAAGCGCCGCTGCACCTCCCAGCTGAGAGCCCATCGAGCTTGGGGGGGTGGGGGGGTGGGAATGTGATGCTCAGAGATGGAAAATAAGCACAACTCTGGACTGTCCAAACTGATGCTAGAAGTTTGACGCTTTTGCTGGGTGAAATGGAAGAACCCACCACTGAACCGACTACCACTAGAAACCTAAAGGAACCGGACGATTTGCTGGGAACCGCCAAGCACGTTGGGTTTCCGCTGACCTCAAGAGGTCAAATGGTATGAGTGAAGTCCGGGTCCAGAAACCAGGGAAAACAAAACTACACTGGCCGTTACGGCCACCAAAAACAAACCAACCTTCTGGTGCGCCTCCAAACCCAGGAAAAACACGATCCCCCAAGCCAAAAGACGATATTCTAAACTTGGTCGCTGTAACGACCCCTCTGCCAACAGTTTAATCACCTTGTTCATGAAATACCGGAAAATTCAACCAAAAGCTAAAGTCGAAAGATCGGACCCAAGAGCAGTAGAGTCAACCTGACGCTTGGTTGGCTTCCATGTGGCCATGGGTCAAAACCCCACATGCCAATCCCCACTACTATAGGTTCTAAAATGGGTGGTGCACCTATCCCAAAATGGTACCAAAACGGTTTTGACCCATGGCCATATTCCAATTGAGAAACAAGAAAAAGTTAAGCCAGTGAATGATATTTTGTTTCGTTTGGTACCATTGGTTTTGACCCACGGCCACATGGAAGCCAATCAAGCGTCATGTTACACTCTACTGCTATTGGGTCGGATCTTTCGACGTTAGCTTTTTTTTGGATTTGACCACCACAGCCACGTCTTCCTTTGACTCCGCGGCTTCCCCGCGCGTTTCTCCGCCGCGCTCCCACCCGCCCCCCGCCTCCTCCTCCCGCAAAGCGTTGTGAGCCTCGAGCTGCTGCTTCTCCTGAGGCAAACGGCCCGTGCCTGGGGTCAAGCTGCCGAAGGGCGGGCGGTGGTCCTTTGGCTTCCTCAACGGACCCCCAAAACGGAGTCCCCTCAAGCAAAAGACGGCTAGGCAAATGCTTTTTTTCCCCCCCCCCCCCCCCCAAATGGTTGGTGGTTTTGGGTACTTGAGACAAAAACCCTTGCAAGATGCAGGGTACTTGCCTGGAGCGCCGTCTCCAACGCTGCCTTGGTTTGCATCCCTTCCCGCACAAAGGTGGGCGCTGGCCCCCACCAAAGCCAGCGAGCACTTTTGCCACTGCCCGGCCCAGTCCGATGTTCGAACAGCTGAGTCACAAATAACACCAACTGCTAGTGGGTTGTTCATTTGAACCGACCACTGAACCAACCAAAAACAACTAAAAACAACAAACAAACAGATAAACAACAAATAAAAATAACCTCTCAGCTAAGTCAACTGACCTGAGCCCCGCTCTCGCTGCGCCGCCAGCTCCAGCCGCAGCGCCTCGAAAAGCGCCCAAAAAGTCCGAGAGCCGAGGGGGGGGGGGGGGGCTGGGGGGCTGGGGCGCTGGGCGGCTGGGCGGCTGGGCGGCTGGGGGGCTTGGGGGTTGGGGGTTGGGGGGCTGGGGGCGGGGGGCTGGGGGTGGGGGGCTGGGGATTCTTGCGCTACGCACCTTTCCTGCAACCGCCAAACCAAAGCCGACTTGGTGAAAGTGTTTGGACCTTTCTTCGCGCACCACACAAAGCTCATGGTTGCTTTGGGCCCCATCTAAAGCACGATTCAACTTGACTTGGCCAAGTTGGCTGGGGTCACTGGCTGGGGAATTTACGACTCAGCATCTACATTGACTCATCCCTGTGGCAAAACGGAGAATGGAAACCCAGGGCGAGGGCGCATGTGATTGACAAAGTGCCAAACTCTGTGGATCCATGCACCCAGTCATCTCCTTGCCTGCAACTCGTCTGCGTTGCTGGCAGTTTTGCTTCTGCTCCTGAAAGAGTCACGATACAAGCCTAGCATTCGAGAGGTCCAGCCGAATCCATGTAGAGAAATTCAAATGCGACAGCACCCGTACACAGTTGCGCCTGTTCCCAACAAGCCTCTTTTTTTTCGAGGCTCCCACAGGAAGTTTGAACTGAGCAGTCTGGGTTCCAAGCATCGATATGCCGCTTCCCTTGGGGCAGAAGGATTCTGCGCCAGTCCCTACAAGTCTCACAGCCGCATCCCGGCGGCGGCGCTCTGCTTCTTTTCGGGCGTCCAAAGGCTTCGGAGCTTCAGTGCTCGCTGACCTCGGCCGACCGCGGCCGGGGCGCAGCGAGACCTTCTGTTGGCCGACGCCGAAAGAACCGCTCCAGAAATCGGCAAGCTCCGCAAATCACCCGCACGGCAGCCTTATATGTGCACCCAGAGGTAACCTTTTGGAAAGATTGATGGCCCTGGCAAATGTGATAAACCCATCCAAACCGGTGCCATCTATTTTATTTAACCAAAGTAACCCAAAAAGGACACCTATGTGTGCACCGTTTCCCCTTACAACAACAAAAAACGCCCTCTCAATGCTCAGGAACCCAACAGAAGTCAGTCGCGGACTTTCGTAGGCCCCAAAAAGCCCCGCCGGACGCTGCGAGCATGCCTCGCGGCCGAGGCGCCATGCGCCAGAAGGCGCCGCGGAGGTCCATGAGCTCCTCAGCGGAGAGTCAAATGATCAAACGGTACTAAAATGATCTACCCAGAACCATGCTTCAAGAATCAAGAAGGCGGATATCCGCAGCGATTTTTCTGGTTGGGACTATCCCTTACTAACCTTCATCTACCCGAATCGGTTTGGTTTGTTGCTTACCTTGGAACCAGGTGCGGCCCTGAGTTTTGAGAGTTGGAAGCCCCTGAGTTTTGAGGTTGGTGGACATGAATCGGGACTTGGACATGAAACATCAAGAGCTGGAAGCCACATCTTAAATGTGGGCATTGGTGCAACCGGACGTGAAATCGGGACCCACCCGAATTTGGATGTGCAAAGGGCCCCAAACAAAAAGCTCATAGCCACATGCCACCCTTCAACTTACATGGGTTTGTGCACAAGGCTCAGCCGTTTGAGAGGAAAGTAGTATTTCCACAGCGGTATGTGGTCGGTGGGAGGGTAAGCATTGAGAGTTTGAAGTTGACTTGCAGTGCCGCTCACGGCATTGCACTAGCTAGCAAAGCGTGAGACTCACACACACACACACACACAAAACACCAGCCTCAAGCAAGAACAGAGCATAGGGAAAAGGCTTAGATCTGCTCCATCTCCAACAAAACGCTGGCCTTCCACCGTCAAAGCGGATCTCAGAAGCCCAATGCTTGCAGAAGGAAAAGTGGGATGCGACGGCGCACAAAGTACACCAAGCAAAAAATCACGTTGAGACCTGCCGCAAAAGACCTCAAGCAAATCAGCCCGTTCCCCCTGCTGGCATCCCAAATGGGAGGCGCGGCCTCGTGGCTGCCGCGCTCTGCAACCACGCCCTTCTCCAGCACGACAATCTGCTCAGCATCCTGTCCCGCGCTATACTGCGCACAGCCAAAGTTCGAGCTTAGCCAAGAGGTGGTTTCCCTTACAATCGCTTTGCACCGGATGCCTCATAGTGAGGGATGTAGCAAGTTGGAAGCGAGAAACTCTCGTTCATCAAGACCCAACACCTGAAGTACCGCGTTTGGACCCTTAAGGCTGCCTTCGACCCGCCCTTATCTCTCATCGTGGTTTCTCTTTTTCGCCAGCCTTGACAGTGGACAGCCGGTGAGCAATGACCTGGGCGAAGGTGCATATCCGTGAAACTGTCTGAGGGAATTCCTCTACACGAACCTCCCGAGGTTTGCAAAGGCGAAACACTCGGCTGCCTGCGAAAAAAATGACCTCAAACCAATCCATTGAATCTCCCCAAGTGCCTGAAATCTTTCGGGCGCAAACTGCCGCGAGCGTCTCCATCGAAAGCAACCCAGCGCCACACAGCTTGGCTCATTTTCGCATCTGAATCAATGCCCTGTGGCCCGGGGCGCCCCCCTGTTCGGTGGGGGTCACGGGGCCACGGGGCCAGTCTTGGCTTGGAAAACAAGTCGTATTCCATGAGCAGCAAGAAACAAATCGAAGACATATTGTAATTAAGTTGAAGGAGTTGAAGGAGTTGAAGGACTCCATGGAATTGCGTTCAAATATATCTTGGCCTTTCATGGCCTCTCACTGCCACTGTCAGCCACTGTGATTCATGGCCCGGGCCATGCATCACATGGCATGCCACAGCGTCACTTGGCCCACCGTTATCGCTGCCATCACAGCTCGAGATAGGTCAAAGTTGGGAACCAATGGGCCCCCCAAAATTTGGCGACTCTTACAGTACGACTCATATGGCCATGGGTCCAAATCCAAATCGTACCCCCAGTGAACATCCCAATCCCCACCGAAATAGATTCCAAAATGGGTGGTGAATTCACCTACCAACCAAAATGGGATCCCACTGATTTTGACCCACAGCCATATTTGATTTAAGAAAGCCAGCTGTTTTGATCCGTTTTCCAAATCTGCTTGACCCATCCTAGCCCTGCAAATTGCCGAAGTTGAAAAGCGCAGCAGGTTCTACGCCCAAATCATCCAAATCTGCCCCGAGTTCAATGATAGTGGCCTCAGTGCTCAAAATCATCATGAAGTTATGTTGTTGATCTGAAACCACACCTTCCCCTTCCTGCGCAAAGCTGCAACGTCTAAGGCCAACACATTCCTGATTCTCTGCTTCATCTTTTTCTCTTCGAAGAACTTCTTCAACTGTTTCACCCGGAAACGGCGTTGCGCTTCGCGGATTTGCTCTGGGGTGGCATAGTAGCTGCCGTTGGTGGTCAAATTTGCATCACAGTCACGCACATGTTCATGAGCACCTGAGCAGCGGTCCAAACATTCTGTCATCCCTTCATACTAGTTGGTTGATGGTAGTTCCCTATATTATTCTACATAATTGATTATACAGTACAAATCCATCGGCATGAATCAACACGGCTATTGGTCACCGCTCACCTCGCGAGGATGATACCCCCTTGTGGCAGTAGCCGCAGAAATTGCCTCTACAATGCGCACACTCCAGCGCCATGCAGCCGTCAAACTCGGAGTAGACTTGCTTGCAATGCGGACAGTGCAAGTTCAGCGCGCTGTTGCGAGCCTCTCGGGCAAATTGGTCGGCCTGGAGCTTGATGCTGTCTTCCTGAAGGAAAACCGCACACATCTCGGCATTTTCTTTTTTTTTAAGGACACATTGAACACCTCTGGATTTCTTTTATTGTGAAACTCGCAGAATCAACAGACTTCTCAACTTTCCAAACATCACTTTTGCTGCCAGACTCTCTGTTTTTGTTGGGCTTCCAATCAAACCTCTGTCCTCGTTGCCGTAGGACTTCATTAGTTCTTCCACCTTCTTCTGGAGACGTTCGTCGAAGGCTTGCTGCATCTTCTGCACATGAGCTGCCACCCGGGCATCGACCACTGCGTCCTGAAACCGCTTCCAAGTCTCTTTCTCACAGACGGCCAAGATGGCAGCGTCCTCCACCTCCAAAAAGTGTCTATGTCAAAAGTCAAAAACATCAAGCAGAAACTCGGTGAAGTATGGTCCATATGATGAATTCATGTCTGCCATCGAGATTGGTTGCAACAAACACGGAGAAAAAGGACATGCCGGGGGAACCTGGGAGAAAAAAAGTGGGAGTGTTGCAGATGTTTTCTCTTGCGAACCACGGGCCTCTTTGCAGCAGATGGGACAAAGGACCTTGCCCTCCTGCGCACCGATGGATTGAAGCTGAGCATTCAGCATCGGCTTCAAGCACTCGGCACAGAAGAAGTGCCCATCGCCACATGCGACGCCTGGGCCCGTAGATCCGTTGGATCCCCCGTACCTTAAAGGGGAGGGAAGGGGATTCTTCGGGGATGAGATCCAGGAGCAGGTTTCTCAAAGGAAATCCATCCCAAAAAAAGCTCGAGCTTGCCGCCCTCCAGACGGCTGTCAGAAATCTTTGCCTCAGACAGCGATGGTTCACGTGGTCTCCCGACAAACTACTTTGATTCCGTCTTTTCAACGGGAAAACATGAGTTGGAGAATGGACCAGACATTGGGAACACCTTGCCTTCGTGTTGGTTGAAGTCATCCATGCAGCTTCCACATGTCATTGTGGTGTCATACCCAAAGTCTCGAATCCACCGGTCGATCCTGTGGAAGACTTGCACCGGTCGAGCGACCTCCGGCAGTGCCAGCGCAAAGACATCAACGCAACACTTCTCCAAATCCAGGCGGATCTCCACCAAGTCAAAGTCCTTCCTCTCGGTGAATCTCTCAGGGCCATCTCTCTTCAAGCGGTCAGACAATAAGCCTATGACTTTTCGAGAGTACTGCTTCGTTCCAGTCTCTCCATACTTCTTGGGAATTGGTCTGAGCTGACTCTGAAACTTGGCCCGAGCAGCTGTGGCATTCTGCTCTTGCCCTTGGATCTTCAGACTTACTCCATCGGTCTCCTCCAAGTGGATTTGGCACATGTGCTCCACGGCCACATCCAGCAACTGCTTCCACAAGGTCATCCTCGGGTGCAGCAGCACCTTCACTTCGAAGGATGTCAATGGCAGGAACACCGCCCTTCTCTGCGGAGCTGGCTCCGGACACCTTGCTGGCCTCAGAACTTCGGGCGGTTGCACCACACTCAGATCGGGAAGAAACTCCCTCACCTGCGGCAGAGGCTTGGTTGGATACAGCTTCTGTTTCATCACCTCTTCATATTGGGCGGGCTGTCGCAGTTCATCATCCGCATGTGCAAAAGCACAGAATGCCGCATACTTGCACTTCCCTCGGCTGAAGGTCTCGCAATACTTGGTCCTGAAATTCACGGGATGATATGCCTTCTCTGTTCCTGTAAGGCCTTCATCTGGGAGGTACGCAACCTCGAAGGGGTCTCTTCGCTGGTCCGAACCTTTGCCATGGAAGAAGGGGCACTGGAACCAGTCGTGGCGCTTCTCTTCCGGGCATGCTCGCGTCTTCCACGTGGAGAGGAATTTGTTCACATCGCCTCGCAAACCGAGGAACAAGTGGTTCAAGCTTCTACAAGAGTGTTCGGTTCTCAAGTGATGGTCAGTCAGAGTTGTTGTTTGGCTCACAGACTCTTTGAATCTATGTGCATCCAAGAATGCAAGCTACCGTACCTATACAATGAAGGGCTTTCTCTCTCCGAAAACAAAACACTCAAACGGTGAATTTTGGGGGGCCGCAATTCTTGTAAACACTCAATTGCGGCTTGTGCGGCCCCCTGCTCTTTTGCTTCGCCCGCCATGTTTTGCTGGTAACATGCCGTGCTTTATTCGTCCATCATCAGCATTGGCACAGGAAAGTCGACCCCGCCTATTCCCTGTGAGACGGACGCCCGAGTCTCTGGCTGTCGGCGGGGCTTAGCAGTCACTGTCTGCCACTCATCAGCCATTGCCAGGCGCAAGGGACCAGGTTTCCAGTTGTTGATACCGCTTGGAATGCGCTTTTTGTGGATTTCACCAGTTGTTCCCCCTGGAGGTCCTCTTTTGTACTGCTGTAGTTCTCTTTTGATATCCTACAGGGGTGGATCCACAAAACCAAACCATTTTCTAAGATACATCCTATGGAACTATCTGATGGCACAGTTTTCACAGAACTGCCCTCTATCGTGATCCTACCAGGATCTTGACCCACACAACAAAATCCCTCCAGACCTCACCTTGCGGTACTGGTTCCCCCCGTCCTTCTCTCCGCTCTTGCGGATGTCATTGGCTGCGGATGGGTGCGGGCGGGTTTGTCACTCCCTTCCAGCGAGGACGCGTGAAGTAGATTCTCGCCAGACGCGGGAATTATTTCGCCGCCCGCCGGGCGGAAACAAGCCAGCGGCAAAAACCACGAAGCAAAGGGACAAGGGAGGCAGCTCTGGGATGCTCGGGGCCGCGAAGGTGGTTCTCTCTTTGGTCTCTCTTGCGCCACTCGTAAAAAGGTTGCTTCACCAGTTGCACCATGCTCAAATCTCCCTGCTCGGGGTGAAACTATCCAGAGATACTAGTACTAGTTATTTTTCATAGCCACCCGTACGCTGATTGTTTAACTCCCCTGAAAACAGGAAATGTTCTCTAGAAGACTAACTCATCTCACTTAGAATTGGGTCGAAGACATGCTAGGAGAAAGAAACAAAAAGAAGCTGTTCGCCAAAAGCTTTCCCGTCAATCTCTCATGTACCACCTTGAAAGGAAAGAAGGTGAGAGTGCTTACAAGAAGCTCTCTTGACAAACGGTCTTATTCTTGGCAGTGGGCTGAATTTTGATTGGCCCTCAACCCCCAGAAAAATCGCCGAAATCCGAGTTTTGTTTGGGCCTTCATTTGGTGCCACGCCTACTTGGTGTAAACAGGACACCAAGAGCTTCCCTGGAGGTCAAACCGCCATTAAATCAAAGGGGGTCAGCATAACCACCCTTATTTGTCCAAGGGATTTCATCATCCAAATTGGGTCAACCATTCCTTTAATGAGGGAACCCTCGGGAAAGGGAAACCGCGAATTCCTTAAAAAAGGGAAAACAAAAGGAAAAACCGAAGCCATTTTGGGGGATCCAAACCGTAAAAGAAGACACGCTTCGTTGGCTTCAAAGGGACACCAAAAGGGAAACAAACCAAGTAAGTGGTTAGCAAGCCCGGTTCTAACCCACTTAAAACTTAGGAGACCTTTTTACCATGACAAGTGGGTTATCTCACCAAGGGCCTTGCTCACATGGCCATGGGTCAAAATCCAAATCGCACCCGCAGTGAACATCCCAATCCAACCACTAACATCGGTTCTATAATGGCTGGTGAATTCACCCACCCCCAAAATGGGATCCCAAAACGGTTTTGACAACCACAGCCACCCATTTTAGTCTATTTTAGTGGGGATTGGGATGTTCACTGGGGGGTAACCATGGCTCACTTCCCTGATGTACGCATCCATCGCCCCTACTGTGGATGGACGAAATCCGTTTCGCACCACCTAAGAAACCCTGGTTTCTGATGATTCCCCTGTACATACCAACAAACAAGGGTTTCAACCATGGTTTCAAAGTGGTGCAGGATTTGGCTGTGGCTCAAAAAACCGGTACCAAAATGGGTTGCGCCTGGCAAGTGGAAGCATGGACCAAAACCTGCGGTTTGCCCCTCCGATCGTTTAATTTTGAGCCACACCCATTTTGTCCATCGCCCCTACGGCTGCCCCCCGCCCACCGAGTGCGGCGCCAGCACCGTCCTCCGGCGCTGCAGGCGCGGGGACCACTGCGCGCGGCGCAGGGCAGAGGCGACCAACCTGCCGGAATCGGAACCCGCACCCAAATGGCGTTTGGTGGCTCGTTGTTTTTCTTTTTCAGAGTGGGTACACCGATTTGTTTGGAGGGTTTTTTGGATGTTGTTTGGCCTTTTGGCTGTTTTTTTTTGAGTTGGTACGCCTTTTTTAAGGGATTTGTTTTCAAGGGAACACAAAAGGAGAACCATCTTTTTGGGCTCCCCCCAAACAACTGTATAGCAAACATGTGCAGGTGCCTTGTTGTTTTGTTGTTGGTGCCCTTCTTCCCACTAACATAGTCCCGGGTACCTGGAAATCAATTGTCCTCTTGAAAGGACCCTCTGTCAGGTGCCATGTTAGCGGGAGGTAGGGCACCCCTTTTTGGGTGGTTTTAAGAGGGAAACCAACAGGAAAACCATCATTTTGGGGGGGTCCCTAGAAAGAGACACACCCCCCAAAACCCCCCCGTGACGGGAATCCTAGGAACCGAATCGGACACAGGGAATCATTTTCTGGAGTCCCTTCACAAAGCTGCCTGGAACCCAAAAGCCAAAGAGGAGTCTTCGGGGCAAGGGACCTCTTTTTCCGGTCTCTGGGTTGATTTGTAAAGTCGCCCGCCCTTCTGCGAACCTTGGGATTGGCGTTCCTAAGTTCGGGCCAGCAATCCTGACTTGATATTCAGGCACAGCGAACAATGCTGAACTCCAGATCCCTTGGTACCAGTACGGTCCCCAAACCAGGACCCCCCCAAACTTCAGGTTCCATGTTTGTAACGAAGCAAGGTACCAGGGCTCCATTTTGGGCCGATTCCTATTGAGCCACACCCATTACTTGTGCTTCAAGACGTTCAGGACGTGGTTCCTGTGTTATCAAGGCATCCAAATAAAAAGCCGGCTCACCTTGCAATCCTGGGCTTTCTCTTCAGGGATTGGCACACGGCAAGCCCCAACAAAAGTACTGCTCGCACTTGAAATCACTGGGGGTCCCTGTCAGGTTTCATGCTGATTGGTGGGAGGGTAAACTAAATGGAGTTTCGCGGTCCCCTGGCTCTTCTTGACAGTGAGCCATTTTGTGCTCCAGGCCTGCCAGTGGAAGGGTCAAGCGCGGATGTGGGCCTCGGTTGCAGTGCCAAAGATGCCGAACGAGTCTGAAAACAACATACCAGTCAGCATCTCTTACTTGTTTAAGGGAAATTGGGGGTTGCTCTGGCTTTCTGGCAAACGACTCAGCCCCCGAATAGATTGGACTTGGCACTTCACTCCACCAAAAGACAAGGAAGCATCTGGAAGTCCCCTGCAAATGCCCTCAGCTTTCCACTAAGTTTCTGCAGACAGACTAGACAACCAGAAACAACCAAAAATCAAAACGTCAAAGCCCAAACCAAACACAAATGTCCCGGCTCTCCAACATTCCGAATCGCCGACGGGTTTCCTCTCTCCCACTAACATGGCACCTGTGGGGAGGCGCCTGGAAGATAAGTTTCCTCTGGAGGCACCAACTGTCAGGTGCCATGTTAGTGGGAGAAAGGGTAGGAGATTCCGCCCCGAATCGCACGCGTCGCGTTAAACCGAGGCGCTCGTCCAGGATCAGCACCGGGGGATCCCGCAGCAGGGCGCGGGCGATGGCGATCCGCTGGCGCTGCCCTGCAAGCGGACGGCCCAAGCGATGCGACGGCCCGAGGCGAGAAAAGACGCGTCTGGGACGAGAACTAGGTCCTCCAGTAGAGAGGGTAGAATAAGGGTACCAGCTTTTTTATGTTGTCTATTTTAGTAGGGGAACCCTCCCAACCAAAAACGGGGTGAGATGGGGTGAGAAAGGGCACTACTGGGGGACCGCGAGAAGATGCCGTGGCCAGCCTTGTGTGGAAACAAGGGGGTCCGAAGGGCTAAAGCCAACCGGACGGAAACCAAATGCACTGCGTGCGGAGCTCTTCAAAAAAAAGAGAGGGTTTTTGGGGGGTCTCCAACCCCGCGATGTCCGATCAACTCGCCTGCCTCCCGACAACAGGCGCCCATCTGCGATCTCCGAGTCGTAGCCCTTGGGCAACTTCATGATGAAGTCATGCGCTTGGGCCGTCTTTGCAGCCTGGAAGAGGAGCCACAAGGCAAGTCTTCACATATCTCGAAAAAAGAAAAAGCAAAAAAATGCCATGGCCCCTCTGGCATGGTCAGAGCTCCATGACAAGTCCATGGTCTTACTATAGTGGCATGTTCTAATACCTATCAGCTCCATCGAGTTTCAAGTGCACCTTCCACAACGTCGAATCCATCCGCTGCCGACCAAGAGCTTTGTCCTCCACTTCTCCGCCCTTGTGAACTCTTTCATTGCCTTTCCTGGTTCATCGTCTATCCGCCTCACACCTCAATCTATCTCTCTGCAGTCGCCCTGAGGAAGCTACTTTAACAGGGGTCAGTTTATTGGTGGTGCCCCTCGAAACTGTCACTTTTGGAGGCTCCCTTTACAGGGACATGGCACGGAAACCCCGAAAAAAAGGGAAAAAAAAAGGTCCCAAGTGATGTTTGCTACTTAAACGGGCATGCTACTTGGTAAGTGGGTAACAACCATGGTGAGATAACCCCCAAAAGCCATGGTCATAAGTCTCCGTTCAGTGGGTCAGTTCACCAGGCTTGCCTCCGAAATTGTCACAGTTTACCCGATTGCTCTTTCTGTTCGAAGAGAAAATAAAAGGAACACAAAGCCATCCGAAGCCCCTTTAAGTGGAAGCCCCCCCCCCCCCCCCGCTTTTCCCCGGCGACGCTTCCGCCGAAGGCCTCCTGCACCTCGGCGAAGTCGAAGGAGCTGAGGCCCCAGGCGATGTTCTCCGCCACGGTGCCCCGAAAGAAGTGGGGCTCCTGCCCCGACCCCAACCCCAGCCCAACCACACCCCACCCACCTACCCCAGCCCACCCCAGCCCACCCCACCCCACCCCCCACCCACCTGCCCACCCCCACCCCACCCCACCCCGCCCACCCCACCCCACCCCATCCACCCACTCGCGGCATCTTTGGGAACCAAAGGCAACACCTTTGGCCGAAGGGGGGTGCCCTCTAAGCTTTGGAACCCCACCCCACCTCGGCATCAGTGGGAACCAAAGGCAGGCCGCGCCTTTCGACCAAAGTGAAAGGAAGAACAAATGGCCGTGGTAGTTCTCCGGCCGGTTGATGCCATGAAAGGACGCCGGCACTGCCTTTGGGCTCTTTACCAGTGGCCAGTGCCGTTCGGGGCATCTGCGAACACCGGGCTGCGTGGAGAAAAGGAACCAACATGGCCCCAAAAAACCGGCATCAAAATGGCTTGCAAGTGGAAGCATGGACCAAAACCCTGCGGCTTGCCCCTCCGTCTCTCTCCCCGGCCGCCTTTTTTTCTCTCGCGCCCGCCTGGCCCACGATGCCCAGCTGGCTCCGGAACCAGGCGAGATCCAAGTCCTGAAGGCGCTGCCCGTCCACCAGCACCTGGAGCTCTGGGGGACGCGTCCAGAGACCGCAGTCCGAAGGGCGGGACCGTCCCAAGGCCCCGGGCGGTTGAAGGCATCGCAAGAGGCGTGGGGGGGGGGCACCGCCCTGCCGCAACCGGAAGGAAGGGGGGGGCATGACGGACACTTTGGCCGTCTATTCAATGATGCAACCTCCTTCGTTCAGGGTATTGACTTGTCCCTGGCTGCAAGATATACTCCAAGCGCCCATGCCACGTGGGGAAGGAACCATCCGCTGCAAGGCACCTGCCCGTTTTGGAGCTGGTAGAAGCCCTGGATGAGGTTGATCAGCGAGCTCCTAAAGGCGTACTAGGGGCGCCCCGGCCAGATCTGGGCACATGAACTTGTCTCACAAAGTGATGGTGGTATCTTTTCTTAAGGATTTGGACCCCCCAGTTCCTCCTTGTTTCCCTTTAAAACCAGAATACATGCGTGCCCTGAAAAAAAACACACAGTAAGGAACCATTGTCATCGTCATGGAGCTTGGTTACCCCACAGCTCCTGATAAGTTGTGGTTACAAAAACAAAACACTCGTCCCTTGTGAGGTTGTTCCGCGGGCATCCTGCATCCCTTTTAGCAGAGGATTACTCTTCAGTTGGTGTTTTGATCTGGGTCAATTCTGATAAAGCAAACAACTCATCACCCCGTCTCTCCAAAGCTCGCTTTGCGGTTTAGCTTGTGAGGCTAACACATATTGCCCATATTACGATCCGTTCCAATGGCGTGCCACATCAGAATCAAGGCTCCGACGATCCTTTACTGACCACTTGGACACCTAAGCCAAACTGCATGCAAGCACTCTGCGGCATTGCCGCCTGCACATTTCCTTCAAGCCCCGTGGAGATGAAACATTGCCAAGTCTCTTGCCAGACCCACTTGTTCCCACCAGCGCCGTCATTTCACCTGCGTCATCGCGCTGCCTCTTGCCCACAAACTGCATGCAGGCATGTGACGACGCGATTCTCAATTGCAGCATGTCAAATCTGCTGACGACTTCCTACCTCCTATAACGCAAGCAACGCTCCAACCCTGCCTGCGCGGCAGTGAATAGTGACGTCCTGGATGCACTTCCCAAGATCACAGCAACTATGGCGTTTGTGGGCCCAGTCAGCTCATGCTCTTCTAAGTCTAAGGAGGTAAGATATCTGTGAAAGGCTGGCTCAAAAGCAGGCTTACAGGCAGCTTTATACGCAGACTAGTCATCAAAGCGCAAGTCGCAACTGAAAGACGTATCTGCAATCTCTCCCAGTCTCTCATTTCTCTGTCTCTGTCTGTGTCGCCCTCTCTGTGTGTCTGTCTCCGTCTCTCTCTGTGTCTCCGTCTCTGTCTGTCTGCGCCTGCCTGCGTCTGTCCGCGCCTATCTGGATCTGTCTGCTTGCCTCCAGCCTGCCTCCTGCCTGCCCGCCCGCCTGCCCGCCCCGCCCGCCTGCCGGCCTGCTTGCCTGTCTGTCTGGCTGTCTGTACGTAGGTCTGTCTGTCTGCCTGCCTCGTCTGTCGTCTGTTTTCTGTCTCGTCTGTCGTCTGTCTCTGTCTCTGCCAGTGTCTCTGTCTGTCCGCGCCAATCTGCATCTGTCTGCCTGCCTCCTGCCTTCTGCCTGCTGCCGGCCTGCCTGTGTCAGTCTGGCTGTCTGGCTATCTGTATGTCCGCGTGTCTGTATGTCTGTATGTCTGTCTGTCTGTCTCGTCTGTCTCGTCTGTTGTCTGTTTCTGTATGTCAGTCTGTCTGCCTGTCTCGTCTGTCGTCCGTCTCTGTCTCTGTCTGTCTCTCGGTCTGTGTCTCTGTCTGTCTGCGCCTGTCTGCGTAGGTCCACGCCTATCTGCATCCGTGTGCCTGCCTCCTGCCTGCCTGCCCGTCCGCCTGCCTGCCTGCCTGTCTGTCAGGCTGTCTGTCTCCTCTGTTGCGGTGTACTGTGTCTGAGGTCTGCACCTGCCCATCTCTGTTTGTGCCTCTATCTCTGTTGTGTCTGTGTCTGCATCTTTGAGTCTATGCGCCTATGTGTCTGTGTCTCAACATAGAGGGGGGTCGCTTCCACTTTGCTTTCCCTCTTCTGAGGTTGTCTGCGACTCCTTGAGAACCTGGCGCGAGGGCCGCATTGGGTAGGCAAACGTCACGTGCTCGAAGCAAAGGTCCTCATGGGCATTGCGCGCAGGAGAACCTCGTGGAGAAATAATATATATATATATATATATGTAGATAAATGGACTTACGAACAACACAATAGGCTCACAGGGAATCTCTCAAACTTGCTGGCAAACATTTGAAGCTTGCGCTGTGTGGGTGTGTGTGTGTGTAAACATAGTCACACATTGGTCAACACTTGATTTGTAACTTTTAAATGCTCCTACGTAATTGCCAACCATCCACCAGCCAATCCTGCTCCCACTCTGAAACTTGAAAAACTGAATCGGCGAATCCGATGTCCCGTCAAGTCGACCTTCTGGGTAGAGAGGGAATTAAAAGAATCGGAGAATCCGGCTTGCACATTTGCCGAAGGTTGCAATCCGTCAACGAAGGCAAAGGACAGGCTTGCTTGGACCTGTCAATCCAAGCTCTTTGGAGACGACTCAAACTATAACCCCAGGAAGTGGCAAATGCTTCTGCCTTCACTTCAGCGTCATGCTTCAAGCACCTTCAATAGTGCCGAAACACACCAATTGCCCGCGCTCTCTCATGTCCACATTATGAACTTGAAAGCAACGGAGAGTGGCTGCAAAACGTTTATTGGCGCGGCGCTTTCTGCAAACTGCTGCTTGCTTCATTCCCCGCCCTCAGCTGGCCAGGCATAGCATGAAATATATATTTCCGGCAAGGGGGATTGCCTTCTGTTGAAAGGTGGAATCTACCTAAATGTCAGCACGGGCGGCAGTCAATTTTTCTTGAGCCAGTATCATGTCGGAATGCCACTACCTATCAACACCCCCCGCTTTGCAGAGGTGCGTTGGTGAGAACAGTACTTTGTACATGTTTCCCCCCAGGCCTGAAGCAAAGTCCTCTGAGGTCGCGACGATGAAGACGTTGAGCCTCAGTGTGATAGGTGGCAAGCCATGGTGGTTTGAGGCCTGTTGCATCAATGGCCGCTACAACTGCAATGCATTTGGTCTTTTGCAGGAGCATGCCAATCGAGTCGGCCGACCACGACTGCCGTCGGGCAATACACATGTAATTTTCATGTGAATGCTTGAAACTGAATTCATTTTGTTGCCGCAAACGGAGGTGATCTCACGACCACAGCTTCCGCTGGGCGAAATCGAAATGACAGCCGGTGGTGGCGGCCGTGGATTGACCTACGGCCGCAGCTTCCGCCGGGCGTGCAAACTCGGCACAGCTAATGTTGCGGCATCAATGGATGAAAGATAATAGTTTTCGAACATGACATCACCAATGAAATTTGAAAAGATCACCGCAACAAAAGCTAAACTTTTCGTGATTGATGCGGGTGCTCACCATCCCCACGGGCCCTGACGCCATTGATCCCATCCATAGGACCACCCGTAATTCCAAGAGCTCCAGTCCTGGCGCCCCTTGTTCTTGCCTTTGCCCTTGCCCTTTCCCTTGGCATAGGGCTCGGGGCGGATGGACCGGGTGATTGCCCTCCACTGAGTGTTCCTCGCCTCGACAGGATAGCTTCTTGTCCGGCCGGATGAGAATTGCGGGATCTCCAGTTCGCCTGTGCTAATCGTTCCTTGGGAGTCGTGCTTTACCCAGGAGGTACGAATAAAGCTGATCATCACCTCCAAGATGTTCTCGACGCTCCCTTCCGGGACGTATGCTCCGCTGTGCCCAATGATAATAGGCACCTGCTTGCCGGGAATGAAACGATAGGCACACATGACCGCAAACTGCATGATGGTGTAGAATCTCGCGTGGTGCGCGATGAAAGCCTCCGTTGACACGTTCAACTCGTGGGGATCGCGCTTGTTGGGACTGGGAATGAACACCAACTTCGTGCCAGTGTTCTGGGACCCTCCCCGATCGCGCTCCTCCCGTGTGCGGCCAGGGTCTGCAACGATCGCTCGGGCGATCCTGCCTAGGAAATCCAGGCTTTCAGGAGTCAACCCTTGCGTAGCGCAATTATAGGCATAGAACGGGTCGACCGAGAGGCGGTCGGACACCTTCTCGCAGCCCATTGCCAGCGCTTTGGTCAGATGCGTCTTTGCCGTCTTTCTGAGTGACGCCTCGACGGAGATTCCTCCCCGCTTGTCGCCTTCCTTGGCGTGATGCTTGGAGCGGATCCACTTCCCACCGCCCCCCTGGAGGTCTTCCAAGTAGAAGACCATGTTTTGGAGAGACGCGGTGTGCTCAAGGCGCACAACCTCGGTGGCGATCCGGGCATCCGTCCACTCGACCATATCTGATCGGCATTCCTGACACAAAAGGTAGCCGTCGATCTGCTGGTTGCCACACCTCTTATTCCAGCACTTCACAACCGGGTTCTTCATCATGGTCGTGAAGAAGAGGTCTTCCCACTTTGGCTCGTTCTGGTAGCGGTTCCGAAGGTTGTTCCAGCCGCGACCATACCCTTTCTCTCCCCTGGAGAGCTCGGGCACCCGTCGAAGGGTTGCAGGCGCAACCTGATATGTCGGCCCTGCAGGTCTCTCATTCGACTTCCCCTTCCGGGGAGCGAGCTCATCGATCGTGGCAATCTCAGTCACGGCACCAGGAAGCAATTTGCCGTTCTTCGTCCCCTCAACGACAGTCCGCCAATGCCTCCATGCCTTTTCTGCGGTCAGGGTGTTTTCACTTTGAAGAAGTTCGGATTGGCGTCCTGGGGACCTGGCGTGAGCTCGGATGTCAACGCTTCGCGGTACCTTTTGCGAAGCTCGGGGTACGCACGATTGAAATAGAGGAACTCATTCTTGCGGGTGTGGAAAGCGTAAATAATATATGCATTTCCAACCCAATCGGCAGACATAAACGCCTCATCGCTCGTGAAGAGTCGAATGCCGTCTTGCATCATGAGCTCCGTATCGAAAGCAATCGTGACGGGCCTTCCGGCTCGCGTTCCCGCCAGCTTCCTCATCTGTGCCTCCCAGGGTGGCGTGGGGTTGAAGTAGACGTGGGCTCTGCCTGTCGACTTCGGATAGCCCCCCGGGACCAGGCCAAACTTGATGATGCTCTCGGCAGACCTGAGGTCACAGGTATGGTAGAGAACAGCAGGGAAGCCCCTGCGCCAGAGATCCGTCTGCTCGGGATGCCGTACCGCTCTCGGGTATTGCCCGCCCAAGTACTTTGCCGCAGTGAACTCTTCGTCAAAGGAATACAAATTCGTCAGAATCGCCTGCTCAGTGTATTTCCTGGTGAGCTCGTTGTGGTGTCCTTGCACGGCCCTCACCCGCAACGCCTGATACGGCAATCCTTTCCAGGATGCTTCCCCCAATGGAGGGGGTCCAACCATCACGCGGAATCTCCGGGTATTGTTATTCCGGATGCAGATCATCACCTCCCAAGGCATGACATTGGCAATCCGGTCGTTCAAATGCCTGACCAGTGCATCGAACTCCACCGACAAATCGATTCCACGGAATGGTGGGTGTGGTTTCCCGTCCTTGAATGCCCCTCCCCGGAGGAAGTACGACATCTTTTTCGAGATAGCCACAAGCCTGTAATCGCGGTCCATATTGACCTTGGGGACATGCCCCATATCCTCAACCTCGAGCCACTCGCACTGCTCCTCGGCCGGGATCTTCGTGTTGATCTTCCGGGTTTTGGCCCAGTCCTCCCAAAAGATCTTTTCCTGCTTCGGGTCCTTCTGCTTTTTCGACCGGGGTTCCCCCTCGGCGTTGCCAGGCGGCGCTTTGGCCTTTGCAATCCTCGGCATCGCCTTCACCTGGGGCTTGTCGGCCGAACCGGCAGCCGTGGGGTCCGACTCGTCTCCAATTTCAATGAAACCAGTCGACTGGGGTTCCCCCACAGCGCTCTTTGCAGCAGTTCCGCGCCTTGGTGGCGGCGGAGTTGGCGGTTGCTTGGATGTGCTGGTGCCCTGATGCGGGGGGCCACGGTCGACGAATCCGAGATCATTCTCGAGGCCGTCGACAAGGGAGAAGAGAACTCCGACGACGAGCTAGACCGCGTCGAGATCGCCATGTCACAATACATTGGCCACACAGCGGAACAGCACGGGTTGTCCATTGTGCCTGACGATGAGGACAAGGACAAGTGGCTCTGCTGGGTGTCATCCGGCAGGGATGAGTTCCATGATCACCGCGGAGTCGGTCGCCTTTGAGTCCGTGACGGAGTGCTTTGGCCAGCTTCAAGCATGTGGGCCAGCCAAACAGCACAGGATCCACCGGTTCTCCTTTCACATCGGGTTCAACGCTCCCGATAGCCGGGAGAGCACACCTGATCCGTTGGGCCAACAGCTGTGTGTTGATTGCCGCATGAAGGAACTTCGACACAACCTTCCGGTTGGCATTGCTGTATGTCATATGCGCGTCATCGTATCTGTGAGCCAGCAATGTCATGACCGACGGGTCGATCGAGTCGATCGCCTTGATGCGGGTCCCATCGTCGATGTCCCCATTCGCAAGGTGTCGAAGGCAGCCGTTCATGGCCTCATTGTAATCGGAAGAGAGGCCATAGTCCTCGGCGTCCGGGTTACTGATGAAAGTAATGTCCCGAATGCGTCCGAGCCCAACAGCCTCTTTGAAGAAGTCGAGCTGCTCAAACACGCGGGTCTTCTGAACCTTTGGCCATTCCGACGCGGCCTTCCGGCCCGCCTCCGTACGATTGAACCGTTTCTCATGGATCCATCTGCACCCCACGTACCCATAGTTGCCGAAGACATCGTTTCCTCCCCACAATACGTAAACCGAAATGGGAAGCTGTTTGATGCCCTTCTTGGAGTTGTCCGCGGCGATGTATCGCACTTTGGCCTCCATGGTGCTATTAATAGCGTCAAGCCCTTCTCCCCAATCCATACCGTGGTAGATGTTGCGGACCCCCTTCAGCTGTTCGGCCTGAAGCAGCAGCAACTCAGAAATGGCTTATTGGGACTTAATCCAAGTCCTAGGGCGCAACGCCCCAGCGGAATTTCGCGCTGTGCCATGCCCCTCGGAAGAGGTGGTCGACATTTTGGTCATTGGAGACTCTTCCTGCGCCATGGTCGAAGAGCCGAACGACAAATTCCCGA